TCCGGCCCACACCATTGGGGGTGGTTAAACCCACTGAGAGGACATGCTTGTCTTTTTTTGGAAAGAAAAGAAAAAATTGAGCAAAGGATGTGCAGCTTCCCTTATCCATCCTGTGGTTCACAACCCCTCGCGTTCAGGAAGTTCCCTCTGATGTCTGATCCCAGTCTCTCCTACTGCAACCCATTTCCTCCTCTTCCTCTGGAAGTGTATTGGAGAAGCCTCATCCTCCTGAGGGCCCGAGACAATTAGCTTTTAAGCCGCAGAAAGCTTGTTCCCAACAGGAGGGCAATTGATTAAGAGTAAGAGGAACTGGATGAAGATTATGCCCAAGAGGAGACTGAGCATGAGGTGGATGTAAGGAGCCGCGTTCAAACCAGCTGTCTATCTACTGGCTGTGTGACCTTGGCCGGGTGGTTTAACCTACTGGCCCCTCAGTTTTCCTTACCTGTGAAATGGGATAATGCTTACCTGGTGAACATTGGTTCTGAAGACTGATAATCATGAAAGTGAAGAGCCCAGTGTTAAGCCCAGGGCATCCTTAGTACCTGCTGAGTCGTTCTTGTTACTGCAGTCACATTATGAAAAGGCACCTCCAGTCCAGGACCAGGAAGAGGTCAGGCAAGTGAGGCCCCTCGGTGCAACACTGGAGGAGGTATTGCTCTCGGGGTTGTTCACCATGAGACTTGGCCATTAAGCAGTACCAGGTCCAAACCCTTCCACTTGCTCCTGAGCTAGATTTGAGTTGTCCTTCCTGGGGGCAGGAGGCATTCTGGAAGACCCCTGGTGGGGCAGGTGATTCGGCTTTGAAAAGCCTGGGTTTGTCCTGGGATTGGGCAGGGGGTGGGGCCAGATGGGGGGTACCATCCTTATCTGGGTTCCATCTGCTTCATCCTTCTACTGCTGAGCCTTGAAAAGTGAAAAGTGAAAGTCGCTCAGTTGTGTCCGAGTTCTTTGTGACCCCATGGACTATACAGTGCGTGGAATTCTCCAGGCCAGAATACTGGACTGGGTAGCTTTTCCCTTCTCCAGGGGATCTTCCCAACCCAGGGATAGAACCCAAGTCTCCCACACTGCAGGTGCATTCTTTATCAGCTGAGCCACAAGGGACTGCTGAGCCTTGGGGGGAAGGAAAAGCAGAGTCGGCCAGCTGGCACCTGCTCACCTCGCCTGCAGGCCAGGTGGGAATTGGGGTGAGGGGCAGCAGGTGGGCTTAGTGGTGGGCTTTATGAAACATGGGTGTCCACCAGAGTCCTGCCATGCATCTCACTGTGAGAGGCTGAGCAAATCATATCCATACCTTTTTGTACCTCAGTTTCCCCATCCATGAAATGGGGAGGGAGGAGATGGTGTCTGAGGAGCGGTGTGCAAAAATAGGGTGTGTGTGTGCACGCTAAAGTTAGGGTGACAGCCAAGGCCTAGTGGGTCTCTGTCAGCCACTGAAGCCCTGATGGCCTGGGAACTTCCTGTAGCATACCCAAGCCTCCCCGCAGGACCTGGGACAGGGGTGGCCTGAGGGGAGACCCCTCTCCTGTTACCAGTTCCCTTGCCTTTATCATTCCCACTAGCCCCAGAGCTGGCAGTGCCTGGGAAACAGGGAAGCAGGACTCCAATCCCAGGAGGCCTGGGGTGGAGGCGAGGGGCAGAGCAGAGGGGAGGGGAGTGCAGTGTTCATGCTGGGCTATGTTTGCAAACACTGCAGGAAAACACTGGGTGTTGAGATTGGAAGTGTTTTTTTGGAAATTTTTAGCTCCTCAGAAAGCCTCTTCACTAATGTTGAGGGCAGGCGTTTAATGGCTGGCCCTGTGGCTGGCCTCCAGCTGGCGTGGGAAGGGGTGCGGGCAGAGGGGCTGGTGCTAAGATGATTGCTGGCAGGGAGAGAAGTTGCTCTTGCCCTGCTGAGGCCTTTGGTTTCTAACATTGCCTCCCTGGTCTGCCCTGTGCCAGACCCAGGAGGGGTGGGACAGGAGGGTCAAGGTGGGGCAGGGTGGGGTGGGGTGGAGACGATAAATAACAGCTCTTTATGGAGAGCTTCCTAAGTGCCCCGGCCTGTGCTGAGTGCTTTTTGTGCTTCATCTCATTTGCATCTCACAGAATAGGGCCGTGCAGTCCTGCCAGGGAGCAGCAAGGACATGGTGACCTGCCCGAGGTCACAGTAACAGAGAGTCAGGATGTGGCCCGGCTGGCTGCTGCCAGTGCTGCCAGTCTAGACTGGTCGTTTTCACAGTGTCGTCCCCGGACCTGGAAACCTATTAGAAATGCGCACTTTTGGGTCCTTTCCTAGTCTGTGGGTTCTGACCTCTGGGGAGGGTCCAGAGGCCCGCCTGTCTGTCAGCAGCCCTCCGGGTGATTGGCGGGCACAGTCCAGTTTGAGACCCCCAGCTCTCACTCTGCCCTGCCCAGTCAAGGGTCTCTTGGGAGACTTTCCCCAGAGCAGGACTAGGGGCTCTTCGGGGCCTGTAATGGACATGAGGCAGGCGTTCTGTCTCCAGCTTCTCCATCCCACCCTGTTTCTGTCCTTTCTCCCTGTCAGGGAGGCTGATTGTACAGACTGTGAAGAGTGAGGGCATTGAAGCTGGGAGGTCTGGGTCCCGACTCAGTTGTGCTGTGTAGACTCTGCATGCAGAAGGTCCCTGTGGACTGCTCTCTAGACCTTCTCCTCCCCGCCAGGAGGCCAGAGCCACTCAGGGTGGAGGCACTCGGGCGTCCTGTGCAGCCCGCGGTCTCCACGTGAGCATCACAGAGCCGTGGACCAGAAGAGATGGGCAGGGGATCCGGGGGGGGGCAGCCTGGCTCTGCCTCTGAGGCCTCTGCTGGGTGGGGCCGGCTGGTGGCGGGAGGCTGAGGGGGACGCTGGTCCTGATTATCAGGCAGCTCCTAGAGCTCCGTCTAGGGCAGGGATCCCTGGGGATTTCTTGTGGGCTCATTTGCCTCCTGCCCCATGGCCTGTGGCTTGGGAGTGGGGGCTCTGGGGGAGGGAGGGGGCGGCTGGAGGAGGGTTAGGGCTGGGCTGGGTGGGGACAGAATGTGGCATCTTTATTGCTCTGCAGAGTCATCCTCAGACTCCAGGTGGGTCAACCGAGGAGGCTGGGAGGGGCTGGCTGATGTACCTCCCCAGCTCTGACTCCGTTCCTGGACCCTGTGCTCCCTCAACCATCCCAAGCTGCCTTGACCCTGAACTACACAGGGGGCTTTATTCACCTGGAAAGAAGTTTTGGCCTCATCCTCCTGTCTCTAGTGGGTGTGTGTGTTAGTCACTCAGTTGTGTCTGACTCTTCGCGACCCCATGGACTGCAGCCTGCCAGGCTTCTCTGTCCATGGCATACTCTGTCTCTAGTACAGTAGGGTAAAGTTTGTGCGTTTTTAGAAAGAGCACTGCCTTTAGCTCAGCCTGCTTCCTTCCTCCAAGCCTGAAAGTGTGTTAGTTGCTCAGTCATATCTGACTCTTTGCAACCCCATGGACTGCAGCCCGCCAGGCTCCTTGTCCATGGCATATTCCAGGCAAGAAAGCGGAGTTTTCTGGTTGCTGTTTCCTTCTCCAGGGGATCCTCCCAACCCAGAGATCAAACCCAGGTCTCTTGCATCGCAGGCAGATTCTTTACTGTCTGAGCCTCCAGGGAAGTCCTCCTCCATGCCTGTCTTGGTCCAGTTTTCTCCCAGATGCCAGAACCTTTCAGAAGTCATTCTGTTCATTCCCCTGTCTTCAGACATGAACAGCACATCCTCAGGTCCTGGGGATAGGGTTGGGGCTGGTGTTTCCTATTCTGAGATCCATTGTCTATACCCGGTCCATGGTCATCTCAGTGAAGACTTGTTTCCATGACCTTGACTCATGCCCACTTGCAAGATTCAAGCACCCCTCTGACCACATCACTGAATTGGAAATGGAACCCTGGAGACTGTGGTCAGGAGGTGGCCCTGGAACGAGAAGTTTTTCTCTTGTGGTGAGGGAGTCTAAGGAGCCCATGTTTCAGGATGCCTTTAGTGGGAAACACTTCTCTTGGTCTGGGTGAGGGAAGGATTGCACCGGGATGAGGGACAGGATCAGTCCTCAGGTGTTTAGTGACAGCCCACTACACATAAACTAGTCTCCAGAATGAGGGATGTGGCAACTGAGTTGGTTAAAAAAAAAGCTGCTTTGAATCTGTTTTGGAGAAAAGTGGGATAAGAATCACAAATAAAACAATAGTTGGAGTGAGACCTATTCCCACAATGAGATTACTCATGCACCGAGGACCAGATAAATAGCTCAGACAGTAAGGCTTACTGGAGTTCTGAGGTGGGAAAGAGCCCCCCTTCCTGGGGTGTTCAGGGAGGGCTTCATGGAAGAGGAGAGCTTGCAGGAAAAAGTGAGAAGCCATTCCACAAGCCAAGTCCTGGATGTGGGAATAGCAAGGAGTCTGGATGGAGCAGAGCTTTGGGGCATGGAAATTGAGGTCTGCAAGGCGGGGGGCAGGGCCCGTGTGGGGTGGTCCTTGAAAGCCCACTAAAGTGTGAAACATCTTTTCTGGGACTGCTGCAGTTTCACATAGCTTGAGGCGTAGATACCCAAGATGGGGTTCCAACCCTTTTGTTCTGCTTGGTAGTCAAGTGGCTTTGGCCTACTCATCTGATTTCTCCTTATTGGTAAAGTAAGGCTCAAAGACGGTAAGGGTCCCTGCTTCACTGGGTTCTTATGAATAGTTGAAGCATCTGGGGTAGGTACACATGCCTGGCAGGTAGGAATAGGAGTCACTTACTTGCTCCTTGTTCCCTTTTGAGAGGTCGGAGTTAGGGTCCCTCTTGAGGTGTGTGGAGCTGGGTGGTTCTAGGACCAATAGGATGGTCTTTCACTTTCCAAGTTCTGCCTCCAAGCCTGGGGTCAGCATATTATGTCTGAGTCTTCGGTTGGCACCATCCAAGCTATCTCCAGAGGCCTTCTGCCCATCACAACCTCCAGCCCTGGGGAGAGAGCCAACCTGTTTGTCTTGAGGCCTCACACTGTATTCTCCCTCTGTCCACAGCCCGTCAACACTGAGACTGCTCTGAAGAATGTAGTGGACACGGTGAGTGATGGCAGGCAGGGTGGGGGCAGGGAGCAGCTTGGGGAGGCCGGGAAAGCAGAAGGAAGATGGGGGGACAGTGAACAGATGTGTTTGAGGACACCCTTCTGGAGTAGATTTGTGGAACTTGGGGAAGGGTGGGGACCTTGTGACATGTGGAGCCGGACATCAGACCATCCCCCTGTGTGTTGGGAAATGATTGCTGGGGAATGAGGCAGGCAGGGAGGAGCATTTTAGCCAGTGCTAAAATGTGGTCTTCTTTATTAAATATGTAGCATGTGAGAGAGCCAGGAAGATCTTTCCAAACACATCTTTCTGCCTTAGCAGCAGGACAGATGGTTTCCTCAAGGCTGCATGGAGGAGGAAGGGATGGAAGTAGGTGGATCGTGCAGTGGGGAAACCAAGGCTGGCAGCTAGCTGATGGGCTTGGAAGACTTGGGCTTATATCTCAACTCGGCCAGGGTTCTATCTGTGAGACTGTAGCATGTCTCAAGCCTGTCTGTTCCTCAGTTTTCTCATCTGCAAAATGGGAATAATGATATCTCCCTAGGAGAGACACACACGAGTGGGTGCGGTTGGCTCCGAGGGGCCTTTAGTGGACAAAGAGATGCTGCACAAACAAGCAATCCCCCTGCAGGCCCCCACCCCCACCACGGCCACACCCAGCAGTGAAAGACCCGGGACCTTTTGATGACTCTCCTCGACTCCCCTCTCTGACTGCCTTTTCTTTGTCTCCAGGGAGAAGGAACCTTTCGGGGTGGGAACACACGGAAAAACCTTGAGGAAGATGTAAGTATGGGGAAGGGGAGGAAGAGGAAGACATGGTGGTTCCCTGGTGAGTGGGGGATGCGGGGAGGTGGATGACGTCTCATACCTGTCCTGTTTGGTGGGGCATCCCTCACAATCTCCTGTGTAGAAGGGCAGTCAGGGTTACTCAGCTCAATTCCAGACTGAAAGAAAGAAAGAAAGTAAAAAAATGAAGTCACTCAGTCATGTCCGACTCTTTGCAGCTCCATGGACTATAGCCTGACAGGCTCCTCCATTGATGGGACTTTCCAGGCAAGAATACTGGAGTGGGTTGCCATTTCCTTCTCCGGGGGAGCTTCCCGACCCAGGAATCGAACCTGGTATCTCCTCACTGCAGGCAGACTCTTTACCATCTGAGCCACCAGCGGGGTGGGGCAAAGGAGTGAGCAGGCCCATGACTTAGCCTCAGTCTGGGGCCTCAGTCTTGGCTTCAGCCTCCATCCAGCTCAGATGGATTCAGGGCTCATTTGCCCATCACGTAAGCAGACCTCAGTACTGCAGGGTGGGGAGGGAGGGGGTGCAAGGGCTGGCTGGGTGGTGAGCAGTCACTAAAGTAAGGGCCAGGGGAATGGGTGACACTGCATGCAGCAAGAGGGACTAAGGGCAGAGATGAAGAGGGACTCCTGGGCTCTTGGGGATCATAGACTCTGCTTCTTTGGACAGAAGAGGCTTTGAAAATGGCTAAATGCGATTGATTCAGGAGGAAGCTGAAAGATGGGCTGGTTCACCTTGTGGGCTTCTCTTGCCGTGTGGTTTTTTGGTGGAGGGTGACAGGCGAACTCCTTAAGTGGAAGGACCCAGGGAAGGAAGGAGGGGCTCCCTGGGTCCCCTGCTTTGAGCCCAACTCGTGCCTGGGCTTGTCCTCACACCCCAGGGGCAGATGCCCAGTGAAGTTGGACCTTCTCTTTCTTCCCCGCCCTTCTCTGACAATTCACCCCTCAGCGGGCCTCTCCATCCTCTCCCGCCCTGATCTGCAGAGGAACAGGGAGTGGTTTTGGCGGTTGGCACAGGGGGAGCTGTTGATGGCATGGGGCCGTATCATCTGACAGCTGCCTGACCCAGACGGGGAGGGCCTGGAGGGAGGTGCTAGGCTCCTGCAGGCAGTGCACGTCGGTGGTGAGCCCACTGCCACTCCACATTGCCCAGCCCTGCAAGGCGGAGGTGTCCCCAGGGCCGCACGGGGGCTGGCCAGGAGGAGGAACATGCCTCTCAAATTAGTGGAAAAGGTATGCACGGGTCCTATGGGTGCATAGTACACATGCTGAGAGGGACCCTTGTCCACATTTGTGATGTTTCTGGGGCTGGGGTGCAGGGGAGGAAGCAATGTTTTGTGTACCTACTAGGATTAACTAGCTTAACGGACACAAAGTGAAATCTATAATTCACAAAGTGAATTCACAAAGTGAATACTATATGCTCAATACATGTTAGCCATTCTTATTACTATTATTTTGGCTAAGGGCCAGAAGCTGGCCTGGGTATTTTTTGATCCCCATGACATCCCACTATGGCAGATGCTGTGAACCCATTTTATAGATGAGGAAACAGAGGCTTGGAGGAGCTCACTATTGCAATGAATATCTATCTTCTCCATTCCGTCCTCAGACTGCTGCCTGGATCTGGTGTTTCCAGGACTCCTGACTCTTGGCCAGGGGACAGGGTGATGTTGTGTGAACCAAGCCTTTTAGCTCATGGTCTGGACATTCTTATAAGTTGAGTCCTAGGGCAGCTGCTCCCCACAACCCCATCCCAGGCCACATAGATCCAACAAAGTAAATGTGCAGCAAGAGAAAGTGAAGTTAGACATCGTGAAGAACTTTTTGACATGAGAGCATGTTGGACTTTGGTCCTGGGGAAGAAAGAGGTTGCTGCCCAGCTGGGATTAGAAGTTTTTTAGGGGAAAATCTGTTGATCTGGGATGAAAGTATGTGTGTCTGTGCGTGCCAGGGGTGGGTAAGAGTGGTGTCTTGCCTTGATATGGGAGGAGAGATGAGTCTCGGTCTGCCTAGTCTAGGTAAAGGAATTCATGAAAGGCTGAGCAAGTGAGCAGATTCTAGAATGACCTGTGTACTGCGAAGGAAGAGAGAAAACCTAGTTTTTGAGGTTCCCAGAAACCTGTCCCGGGTTGAGTGAACCCAGGGTCCCCTGCCCAACCACTGAGCTCTCTTGCCCTCTCCCCGGGTGAGGAGACCGTTTCTGAAGCGGCATGGCTGCTGCTCTGGGGCTTGTTGCTGTGATAATGTGCCTGTTTGTTGAGCTGTTTTCCTGTCTCTGGCCCACGGCCCAGGACTCACAGGGCAGGAGTGGCTGTTTTCCTCCAGCGAGGCTGGTGTGTTGCAGGGTCTGTGGATGGTGTGCTGTGTCGCACTTTGTTTTGGAAAAATCCAGGCGGGTGGGCAGGAAGGAGAGGGGAAGGGGTGTGGTCGGAGGGGCTGGTGCAGAGGGGAGGGGGCGGCCACAGCCCCCAGAGGAGCTGTCGGGGTGGGGAAGGGCCCCTGACGTAGATTGGTCACCAGTCTCCGGCTGCCTGACATGGCTGCTACTGTTGCTTACATACCCTCCTCCCAACTGTGCTCCCTGGGGACCTGGGCTCCGGAAACAGCTTTCCCTTTGGTCCAGTGCTGTTGTGTTTGGTCTGTGGACCTCAAAAGAAGGCAGGACTCTTTCCACACAGTCCTTGCTCCAAACCAACCCCGCCCAGATCCTGGGGTGCCTGCTCTTGCTGCGTGGTGGGTAAGATGAAGGCGAAAAACGGAACCGAGGGTCACAGATCTTGAGTGGCCCCGGAGTGTCTGAGCGGTGGTCAGCAGCTCCCGCCGGCATTGAGGATCGAGGTCAACGGTGTTGGCGGAATCTGCAACAGGAAGGGTGAGGGTTAGATACCAGGAGGAACTGGCTGATAGGAAGAGACATAAGACACGGTTTGGGGGAGGCTATGGAATTTCCTTTTACAGTGTCCCTTAAGCAGAGAAGCGACTGCGCTTTGGTGATGTCGGTGGGGGAGAGATCTTGGTACCTACGGGAGTTGGATCAGAAGTTCTGTTATGGATCTGTGTCTTGGGAGGCGCAGGGAAGAAGTTCAGAGCTGTGGGTAGATGGCTTTGAGAGCCCCAGAGAGGAAAGGAATGGTATTACAGGCAGACCGACAGCTTATTTTTCTTTATAAAATAAAATCTTCAAGTATTCTTTTTTAAAAAAGAAATGTATTTATCTATTTGATTGCATCAGGTCTTAGGTGCGGCACGCAGGCTGTTTGTGGCTGTGCATGGGCTTCTCTCTAGTTATAGGCGTGCAAGCTTCGTTGCCCTGCAGCATGTGGGATCTTAGTTCCCCAACCAGGGCTCGAACTCATGTCCGCTGCATTGGAAGGGGAATTCTTAACCACTGGACCAGGAAAGCCCCTAGAGAACTCTTTGTAAAACCCTTGGGTAGTTTACCCCAGAGGCTCTTGAGTGGAACAGGTAAATCACACCCGACTGTGTTGTACCCATTTTACAGAGCAGTCAGTGAGGCCTCATGGCTGCTTCTCACATGGGCTTCGTAGATGAGAATCCTCCTTCATAGAATGGAAGCTTTCTGAGGCCGGGGGCCTCATGCCCAGCTGGTGGCCCTCAGCAGAGTTCACAGAATGAGGGAGGGGGTATGATGATGGAATGCAGAGGAGACCTCATCCTTCCTGAAAAAGGCCCTGTGTGAGTCGGCTCGGTCTCCAGCCCAGTCTGCGAGGTCACTGTGTCTCTCAGCCCTGAGCGGTGTCGCTCACATGCCCCCCGCCCGCCCCCGGCCCGTCTGTGGTCCTCCAGTTCTCCCGTGACTCTGCCCAGTCGCCCCCAGACGTGGACGTGTTACCTGCGCACGGCTGCATTCTGCCAGTGAGTGTCACATGCTTCCAAACTTTGCAGAAAACAGGAAGCCCCGTCAGCGAGAGGGCAGCCCAGTGATTCATCAGGGGATGACTGTCCAGCTGTTCGTCCCCATCCTCCGCGCGAGGGTCACTGTCCAGGGCGGCTTCCTCCCCTGCCTCCCCTCTCCCCCGCCCCCCTCACCGCTGGCTCCGGCTTGGACTTTGTCTTATCACCTCTGGAGGCGGCGTGGCCAGACTCTGCTGGGGCCAAGTTTTTATTTATCTTTCCCGGCTTTTTGGGGTGGGGAAGCTGAAGAATGTGGAGTGTTGTAACTGGGGAGGGGGTGGAGAAGCAGGACCTGGCTCTCCTGCTCCGTGCTTCCCTTTCGCTCCTGTGCCTGTGGAGGCTCTTGGCTCCCCTCGACTCCCCAGTCTTCCCACCAAGCCCAGCTCCGTATCCCTGAGGCTCCTGGGGGCCTGGCCCCGTGGTCCTGGCCACACCTCCCGCCTTGGCTATAGTTGTGGCTTCCAGTTGTTAGAAGCAGCTGTAGTGGCCTCCTCCAAACATGGCTGTGGATCAGCAGTCTACGGAACCGAGGGGCTATTTATAGCAGGGTGGCCCTGGGGCCTGGAGCCGGGCCTAGGGCCTGGGGAGGTTCATCGTCTCCTCATCAGGGACCGGAGAGACGGAGACCGATGAAGTGTCAGGTTTCTGCGTTCCTCTGACGGGGTTGTCTTGGAACAGCCTGGTTTGGGTCTTGAAAACCAAACACAACTCAACCCCTCCTTACTGCCCCCCCCACCACTTCCCACCCCCCAACTCCCCATGCCTGACTCATGCAAACCCAAGTCCTCGGGGCCAGGAGAGCTGTGGAGACAGAAACTTCCCGCCCGACAGCGCGACTTGGCTCTTTCCTCCTCCCGCTGCCTCCAGGCTGAGCTGTTCCGGGCTGCGCTGCAGCCCCGGGCTCTGGCTGCAGCCTTCTTGCGAAAGGCTGGATGGAGAGTCCTCCTCTTAGGGGGGCTGCCCTGACTTGGGGCTCAGCTGGGTGCGTGGTTGCAGAGCCCACCCACCCCTGCCTCGTTGGTGCTGCGTGGAGAGGGCCGAAGGGGGCTCCTCTTCTTGGGGACCCAGTGGTCCAGCCCGGAGTCTGAGGATGAATCCTGCTGGTCGTCAGGATCTGGGGGTGAGTTGCTGTAGCCTCGGTTTCTCCTCTCCTTGGTGGACTGTGCTCCTCTCTCCTTCAAGAGGATGCAGCTTGGTGGCCACAAAAGGCTGGTTTAGGGGAGGCTCAGGCATGTTTGGAAGGTGCCAGTGGGCTCAGAGGTCTCTGGCTGGGAGTGTCCAGGTAGGGCTCCAATTCTGCATCGAGTGAAGTGGATGAAAAGATGGGTAGCAGCTGGTGATGCAGGGTTTTGCTTTTCTATAGAGGTAACTGTTTTGTTGTGTCTCTAACTATCCTTTTAATTGTACTCGATGTAATAATGGTAAGAACATCTAAGGACCAGATATGCATAATTCCCTTTACTCTTCAAATAACCCCATGAGGATTGTTGCATCTTACTTGTGACATTGGGGCTTCCCTGGTGGCTCAGATGGTGAAGAATCTGCCTGCAATGAAGGAGACCTGGGTTCGATCCCTGGATTGGGAAGATCCCCTGGATGAGAGCATGACAACCCACTCCAGTATTCTTGCCTGTGGACAGAGGAGCCTGGAGGGCTACCGTCCATGGTGTTGCAAAGAGTCGGAGATGACTGAAGATCAGCTATGCACAGCACAGCACTCATGACATTACAGAGGCTCAGATCTTTGAGTAGTGCACGGTTGTCCAGCAGGATGCCGGCGGGGGTGGGGTGGGGGGGTGGGGCTCTGATCCTGCACTTTCGTTGCCGTACCATACAGTTTCCCTGAGATGTTTTGGACACCAACTTGGGTCCATTTGCCTAATTTTGTACCAGTCGACAACCCTAGAGATGGGAGTAGATGAGGGAGGTAACAGACGATGGGCAGTGGGTCCTTAGAAGCATGATTTGCTGCCTAGCTCTGGTCGGTACACACCGTGCCTGGTGGCTTCTTGTCTCAAAACTTTGGACTGACCTGGTGTTGCTGCTTTAAAGGAGAGGCTTGTGGGCAGCTGGTGGTCAGAGGAGAGATGTTCAGAGCTGGACGGAGGGGTGCTAGCGCTCTCATCTTTCCTTCTTTCATGCTTGAATCTCTGTTCACCACTTGGGGTTACTGTTCCGATATCCAGCACATCAAGGTGAAATGAGTGTCCATCAACTTAATAACTGTTTTATTGAGTGTAAACTCAGTGCAGGTGGCACCAGCCCAGGCCTGGTGCATTTCTGGGCATTGGGGATTTCTTCCTTGCCCGGAGGGAGGAAAGTGCTTCCCCTCGGGGGCTTATAGGCACACAGGCACACTCACGTGGGACTGGCATCGATTGCTTTTGGGTTTGAGTTGCTGTGTTGCTGGGGCTTTAGGGCGCCTGGGCTGGAATGTTGGCAGAAGCAGGAGAAGGAAATCTGTGTTTGCCCGTGGCCCTGACCACTTGTGTGGACAGCTCTCTGCTGCTCTCCTGCCGTCCAGCTGGTCCCCATCCTAACGCTGCTCCTCTCTTCTCTTTCCCAGAGTTCCACCAGAGTTACACCAAGTGTCCAGCCTCATCCCCAGCCCATCAGGTATGCCTGGACTATAGGGGCCAGGGGGTGAGGGGCAGGCAGTGAGGTCACTGTGGGTGTTCCCAGAAAGTCATGCCTTTGAGTCTCTAATGCCAAAGTCATGAAGCCCCTGGTCGGGAGCATGGCAGACATGGAAGCTACAATGAGAGGATGTGGGTAGATGCCACTGGGAATCAGTCATGTTTTGAATTCTAGTTTGAAGCCAGTCCTTGAGCTGGATTCTTTATTTACCTGCATGATCTCATGTAGTCCTTGCAACAACCCTGCAGGCTAAGTATTTTATCCCCGTTTGACTGATGAAGAAACTGGGTCTCAGGGAAATGAGGCAACTTGTTAAAGGTCATGCAACCACCAACAGGCAGCACTTGGATTTTCCTTCAGGACTGGCTGGCATTGAGGCCTGTGCTAGATACTGTTCCTTTCCATGAGCAGTGACTTCTGATATTCGAGGGTCATTTATAAAAGGAAGGTTCTCTGGCTGGCTGGGCTGATGGGGGCTGGGGCAAGGGGATCACAGGGGACTCGGTGCTTGGCTCATCCAGAGTTACTTTGTCCTGGGTCCAGGTTCTCTGATTTTTTTGGCTTCCTCTGCCTCTCCTTCATCCGAGGCTTCTGAGATGAGTGAGAATCTGGCCCCAGGGATCCGGAGCCCCAGCCAGAGAGGGCTTGGTGGGTAGCTGAAGCTCCCAGTGGGCTGTAGTCCCTCTGCCAGCTGTCCACAGAGAGTGGACGGCCCCCTTAGCAGATCCCTCCTCCCTTGTAGCTGAGAATCGGTGGGTGCAGAGTGTCATGCTGATGTCGTCCAGGTGGTGGCGCTGTTCTGCCTTCCGTAGGAGCCCCACCCCCACACGCTGCAGGACCAGGAATGATCAGGACTCAGAGGCCAAATTCACAGTGGGCTCCCAGCACACTGGCATCTCTGTCACCGCGTCCCAGTCACCGTCCCCATGGAGAAGCTATATGTCACCTTTGGCTCCCCTGTCTCCAAGCCCCATCTATACAGTTGGCTCAGAGCTAACCCTGGAGATTTGGATTCTGCCCCGGTTCTTGGTGTCCTGGGGTTGTACACCCTACTGCCGCCCCATCACTCTGAAACACCCCAGTGGTATCCCTCCCACTGCCCCTCCAGTCCCAGCTTTAGCTGGAGGTAGTGAGAGGTTATCAACATGAGTGTGGTCCATCTTGGGTAGTGAGCGGAAGCAGGAGGCTGGTGATGGGGTAAGAAGGGTATGAGGTGCCCCTAGAAGCCGCTGGGGGCCTTTGGAATGGATTGCCAGTGTCCCGAGACCCCTTTCCCCATCCCGTGAGCTCACCCTGGACCCTCCTCTGGAAGAGCAGCCGGGTGAGGTGGGTGGGTACTCCCTCTCACTCGGTGTCCGGCCCAGGCAGACCTCTCTTAGGAGCTCAGATGGCACTGGGATGTCTGGGGTCCCCTGCCACTGCGGCAGCATCCTCGGCCTCCTGGGCCCTTAGAGACCAGGGCGCTCACTGGCAGGAAGAGCCTGGGAGGTGGTGGGAGCTGCCAGAAGTGGGGGGAGAGCCAGCGAACAAAGGGCAGGAGTCAGCCTGCCTCCAGGGAGGGCTGGAATGTGCGCTGCGGTCTGGCTTACCTGGAGCCCAGGTGAGCATGTCACCTGAGCTGCCCCTGCCCCTGATGGGCCCCCCCGCCCACACCACAGCTCAGAGCAAGCGGACGGCGGTAGAAGGCTCAGCTCTGGGATGCAAGAGCCCTCGCTTCGGGCTCTCCTTCTTCTCTGGAGCCCTCCCTGGATCCTTCGAGAAGCTTCTGCCAGATCAGGTGGCTGCCATGTGTTGGGAGGCTGAGCTGGACTCCTGGGCCCTGGCTGGTTCCGGCCCTGGCTCCGACCTCTGGGATCACAGGTTGAAGGCAGTGCCAATGGGATTGATGAGCACCTAGGACTGGTGTCATCACTCTTTGTTTCTGAAACGGCCTGAGATCCTTGCCGACTTCTGCCCAGCTCTCTTCTCCCCGGCTCTCCCAGACTGGCCTCGAGAGCTACACTGGTCTTGCCCAGGGAAGCCTCTGGCCTTGGCTCGGGGTCAGGGAGCAGCCAAGCCCTCCTGGGTTAGATCTGGGGGCCATGTATGGCGTGGAGGGGTGCAGGTTCCTGGAGCTCGTCCTGGGCCTGGATTCTGATCTGCTGCCTGCTGTCTCCCCAGAAACATGAGTACGAGCCGGACCACGGAGGACAGCTGTGAGCTGGACCTGGTGTACGTCACCGAGAGGATCATCGCCGTCTCCTTCCCCAGCACAGCCAATGAGGAGAACTTCCGGAGCAACCTCCGCGAGGTGGCCCAGATGCTCAAGTCCAAACATGGAGGCAACTACCTGGTGAGGATGGGGCCCCCCGCTCCCTGGCCCAGGGCCCCCGTCCTTTCTGCCTGCCGCCTCTTCCTGCTGGTGTCTCATCCCACCTGCCCCTGCACCATCTCTTCCTCCCCTCTCCTCTCACCTGCCCTTGGCCTTGGGCGTCTCTCGCGGTCTGAGTCCTCGCTCACTGTCCAGCTGTCCTTTGAGGACTGTCTGCAGCTGGGACATGGGATCTGAGCCCAGTTGTGTGCGTCTGTCCTTGTCCTTGTACGTGTGCATGGGTATGCGTATGTGTGGTTTGTATGTGTGCGTGCTTGTGCATGTATGTGTGCAAGTGGGGTGTGTGTGTGCATGTGGTGTGTCTGTACAGGTGTGTGTGCTTGTGTGTGCATGTGTACAGTGGAGTGTGTGTGTATGGGTATGTGTGTGTTTGTGAGTATATGTGTACAAGTGGGCTGTGTGTGTGCATGTGGTGTGTCTGTACGTGTATGTGTGTTTGTGTGTATATGTATATGAGTGGGTTGTGTGTCCACGTGGTATGTCTGTATGTGTGTGGGTGTACGTGTGTGTTGACCAGAGGAGGGAGTGATGGTGACGCTCATGTTATTGAGCGCCTGTGATGATCCAGGCTCTGTCCTAACTCCCCCCCACGTATTTAACATCACGACAGCCCTAGGAAGCAGCTACTGCAGGAGCAGAGAGGTGGGGTATTTGCCTGAGGTCGCAGCGTCAGAAAGTGGCAGAGATGTCACGCTGTCGGTGCCTCTGAGAAGTCTGAGGGCAGAGCTGTGGCAGATCGTGTTTTGAGGGACCTTGTGTTGCTGAATAGAGAATTGTACCTGGGACAGGAGAATCTCCCAATCACTGTGGAGGAGGTTACCCCCGACTCCTCACCCACTATGGGGGTCAGAAAGGCTGGCCGGGAGATCGGAGCCATCCTGGCCCCAGAGGAGGGCTCGGGCCCACCTTATAGGAAGATCCGTGTGGGCTGGACCCACGGACCGGCCACGCCACAGTGAGAGAGCAGAGGCAGGGTCTAGGGCTGCTGTAACTAATTCCCACAAATTAGGTGGCTGAAGACAACAAAATTAATTTTTGCACAGTTCTGGAAGCTAGGAGTCCAAGTCAACGTGTCACTGGGGCCGTGCTCCATCTCAGTCCTGTGGGGGAGAATTCTCCTTGCCTTCTCCCATCTTCTGGCAGCTCCTTGTCTTGTAGGCGCCTTGCTCTAGTCTCTGCCTCCATCATCACATGACCTTCCTTCTTCCCCGTGTCTCTGTGTCCTCTCCTCTTCTTATAAGGACACAAGTCATTGGATTTGGGGCCCACTCTGAAGCCAGGATGATCTCATCACCAGACCCTTGACTACTTACATCAGCAACGGACCTGTTTCCAAATAAGGTCACATTCTGAAGTTCCGGGTGGATATGAATTTTTGTGGGACACCATTCGGCCCTCTATAGAGACCCATCCATCAGCTCTGTTGGACGTTGTTAAGAGTCTGGCTTTAGGGACTTCCCTGATGGGCCAGTGGTTAAGACTACATACTTCCACTGCAGGGGACATGGGTTTGATCCCTGGTTTGGAGACTAAGATTCCACATGCTGCATGGTGCAGCCAAAAAAAAAAAAAGACATCTGGCTTTAAACATCAGAAAGTTCTATGCTGGCTCTGCTCTTACCAACTATCTAATCTTGGCACTTAGCCTCTCTAAGCCGTAGGATACCATCTGTAAAATGGGTCTAATGACAGTATCTACTTCAGAGGTTGTGGAGAGAATTAAGGCACCTCGTTAAATGTCAAATCTTTAGTGCGGCCTGGCTGGCTGTGGACACCCAAGCTGTAGCTTTTGTTCATGGCATAAGGCATAGTCCTTTATGGGACTCAAGAGTGATGTAATGTAGTGGTTTAGTTAAGTCATGTCCGACTCTTGCGACCCCATGGACTATAGCCCACCAGGTTCCTCTGTCCATAGGATTCTCCAGGCAAGAATACTGCCATTTCCTTCTCCAGGGGATCTTTCTGACCTAGGGATCGAACCTGGGTCTCCTGCACTGCAGGCAGCCTCTTTACTGACTGAGCCAACAAGGAAGCCTATGAAGAGAGGACCAGAAGCCATCTAAGATCCTGCCCAATTTCAGGAGTCCAGAGTTCCATGAGTCTCTGCTGTATCTTCCCCGCTCTGTCCCACCCATCACAGGGGCCTTTGAGTTTCCCAGGCCTTGCGCTGGATATCGGGAGTTCTGCCTGCCTCCTCCAGAGGTGGAAGACAGGAATTCAGAGACAGGGGGATTCCAGTGGGATGTGGTCAAGTGTCAGGGGGTGTCTCCTGGGAGATCAAGGATCTGAGAGGGTCCACCCAGCATGGTTTGCACCCTTTGATAGCGGGTGTCTGACCACAGAGCAGTTGCATTTCCATGGGGTGAGTTTCTAAAGGCACCATGTGAAGTAGAAACCAGAGATGGCCAAATGCTTATCAGTTGCCACCACTGGCTCTCCATACAGTGTGGGGAGACGCCCACCTTGGGGGTGGCACGTGGGGCCCAAGACAGATTCCATCCCCTTCTCACCTTCAGTTCAGGATGTCTGCTCATCCAGGGGTGGGGCTGAGTGTCTGCATACCTGTCTCTGTCTCCCTGTTCATCCTGAGAACCTGTAGTTGGTTCCCGTCAGTCGGTGTGTGTCTGGGGGGGCTTCATGTGTGTTCATGTAGTAGAATTTCCAGCAAGGAAGACAGAGAGAGCGAGAGCGAGAGAGAGAGAGAGAGAGAGAGCGAGAGAGAGGGTCAGCCTTCTCACAACCTCTTCCTTTTCCTCCTTCTAGCTTTTCAACCTCTCTGAGCGAAGACCTGACATCACGAAGCTCCATGCCAAGGTGAGCCTGTGGCTGTTTGGGGGTTTGTTTGGGGAAGTTCTCCTTGCCTGGGCTCCCTTCCTCCAAAGATCCCATGTTAGAATCTTGGAGGAAAGTGCTGTGACTGTTTGCAAAGCCTTTTCAAAGTCACTGTGCTCTCTTCTGTTTGGAAAACCAAAACGCACATAGCGCTTCTGTGATATGAATTACAGAAAGCAAAGCTCAGTACAGTCATTTCCACCCAGGCCTGCCTCTGGCGGTGTGCACACACAGTCCCTGGGGTGAGGCTGGGGTTGTGGGATTTTTGGTCTTGTTGACCAGTCTTCTGGATTTGCATCAGCTGGGAATTGCCAGTGCAGGCGTCCGACAGCCAGCATTCTTTCACTTGCTGTTGAGTGAGGCATGTGTGGAGGGGCTCTGCATGCCGCTCCAGCCCCTGGATTCTGGCGCCCGTCGTTGTGTGACCTTGGGTGGGTGGCAGAGTTCTCTGGGCCTCGGTTTGTGTGTCTAAAAGTGGACGGGCTGGATTAGATGAGCTCTCTGGGTCCTTCTGAGCACAAGTTTTCCTGTACTTTAAAGTTCTGTGAGTTAAAGTTTGAAGGAGGCTGATGACTGCTGGGACCTTCGCGGGCGCTAAGCTTTTGCTTTATACACATATGAGAAACTGGGGCTGGGGCCGGGGCCGTGACTAACCTGAGGTCCCACAGGGAGCCGGTGTCAGAACCAAGCCTTGGACCAGTGTCCTCAGCCTCCACACCCCTGCCTCTGAGCGGGGTTGATGGGCAGGGCAGGAACTAACGTCCCCTCACTGTCCCCCACCCCCGTTGGCTCTCTGCACCTCTGTCACTTCTTACTCATGGCTTGGGCCACAGGTCCTGGAATTTGGCTGGCCCGACCTGCACACCCCGGCCCTGGAGAAGATCTGCAGTGTCTGCAAGGCCATGGACACCTGGCTCAATGCAGACCCCCACAATGTGGTCGTCCTACACAACAAGGTCAGAGTGGGGATGGCAGGATGTGTGTGTGTGATGAGTGCATGTACCTGCCCGTATTGTTGGATTGTGTGAGTGTGCAAGTTTGTGTGTATTCTCCTTCTTGGGGATAATACATTCTGTCTGGGGCGGTACCCACAAGAAGTGGGGGCTACCAGCCTGTGGGGCCCTCAGGTGTGGTAGATAATCAACTGTTTCTTCTTTTTAAGATTCAGCCCCACCTGCTTCCTCCCTACTCCTTTTCTGTCTGAGAGCTACATCCCCTCTCTCCAACCCCTTTTCTTCCAGGCTTTCTGATTGGGCTGTGGGGTGGGAGGGCCAGCCTTAGCAGTGAAGGCTTTTGTGTTTGGGGCTTTTTCAGGGAAATCGAGGCAGGATCGGCGTTGTGATCGCGGCTTACATGCACTACAGCAACATTTCTGCCAGGTAAGAGAACCCGAGTCTCCTGTTCTCTGAATGTTGACAGCAGGACCCCCTTCCCCACCCACCTAGGGCCTCGCCCTTCTTTGGTATTAGAGAATGAGGACAGAGGAGACGGGAGGTGCTGAGGACAGGGCGAGGACCCCCAGAAAGGAGAAAGTCCCCGCCCACAGCTCTGGGGTAGGGGCCCTTGGACAGAGGGCAGCATAGAGCAGAGGCCATCCTCCTATCTGGGGCCCCAGTGGTGGGGGGAGCCGCTGTGGGAGGCAGGCCCCGCATGGGCACCCCACCCAGCTGGCTTCTTGGGGCCACTTTCCTTTGCCAAACTGCCTTCTGTTCACCCTAAAGAGCAGCGAGGGAGTCACAAGGAAATGTTGGAACACACCTGGGTCCAGCAGAGCCATCTAGACGCCTTCTCATCCATGCCCCCTGCCTCTGGCCATCAGGGGCACCTTCCCACTTTGGTGTCTGCAGCAAGACAGAATAGGAAACAGCCAGTGGATGGGTTCCATTCTGATCCAGCTTTGCAGAGAGGCAGAGGAGTCAGTCCATTCATTTTGTCATTTGACGATGGTTACGGAACAGTCACTGTGCAGGCTGTTCTAGGTGCTGAGAATACAGCAGTGGGCAAAGGTGGGCCACTGTCCTCGTGAGTGTTAAATTAAGTGAACAAACACATCCTTAAGAGCAGGAGGCAAGTCCTTTGAGAACAGAGACTGGAGCAAGACGGTGGGGAGGGGAGGTCTCTTAAGGAGGTGATGTGTGAGCAGAGACTGGGATTAAGTGGTGGGAGGCTGGGAAGGACTGAGTCATATGCGGTCTTGGGAGGCAGAGGACCTTCCAGGCAGAGAAGAGAGTAGGACAAATGCCAGCAATGGGAATGCCAGGGCCTGGTATGTTTGGAGCTGAATGAGTGAGGGGACAAAGACTAGGAAGTGAAGCTGCGAGGGGGCAGAGTCCAGGGGCCTTGCAGCCCTTGGTGAGGACTTTGGGGTTTATTCTAAGAGGGACATCGGTGGAGAGTCTAGAATGATCTGTCTCTTTATATGAGAGTTATATGATCTGTCTCTTTATAAAACGACCTCTTCGAGGATGAGTAGAGTGTCCTCTGAAGGGCTTGCCAATAGGACGGTAGCTTTATGACTTTAAGAAACCTGACCAGCTTAATCTTTGCTTAATGGTGAACTTTGCCTGTGTACCTACTGTGTGCCCACATGTGCCAAGCTCTTTAGAGATGTTATCTCCCTCAATTGCCCTAACAACGTTCAAAGAAGGCATAGTTATCACCTCATTTGCCAGGAAAGGAAAATCAGGTTCAGGAAGGTTAAGTAATCTTCCCCAAAGACCAAGGGCTACTAAATCAGTGGTGGACTTGAGATGGGCTCCCAGGATGTCTGGTTCTAAGCCTCCCGTGCTGAGTATTGCAGCACACAGGAGGGAGGGATGCTGGAACAATCCTTTCCTGAAAGCATCTCAGGACAGAGCGACTGGAGGACTCTGCAGGTCTGGGGAGCAGGGGTGGGGGGACAGGGGGGTCGTAGAAGTTGGCTCCTCTGACCACCTGTCTCTCCACACAGTGCCGACCAGGCCCTGGACCGGTTTGCAATGAAACGGTTCTATGAGGATAAGATTGTACCCATTGGCCAACCATCCCAGAAGAGGTGGGTCTCCAGGGCTCTTGGCTCAGTACATACGTGTGTGTGTGTGTTTGCTGTATGTGGGAACCAGCCTTGTGAACCCATGGGGACTGAGCAGTGTACCTGTGTGGTGGTGTGCCAAGCATGCGTGTTCAGGTCCAGCTTGGAGGGGCGTGACCTCAGGAACCTGTGGGCAGCTATGTGTGCCCACAGGGGGGCACAGCAGTTGGCTCCTGAGGTTGGTGCCAGAGATCAGTGGGGCCAGCAGTAGGGGGTGGAGGGGGGCATGCAAGAAGACAGCTTGGGTGAGAAAGCAGCGCCATTCTTGGTCCTGGAAGCGGGGTTGCTTCTGTGTTTGGATGGATCTGCAGGAGGCTGAAGTTACTGCCGTCTGCCCTGAGAAGATCACAGACACTCAGGATGAGGGTCCCCTTCTGCTGTGAGAGCTTTAAAATTTTACAAAGGGCTCTCAGCGATGTGGTCCACAACAGCCCATGTAGGAAGCAGGACAGGGGTGGATTTCGTCATTCGTCTGACAAATTTTCTGTACTCTAGTATCCAAGTGCTGGTGATATCTAATTGAACGGATGATCTTTAGCCCTTAGTAATCTGATACTCTGTTGAGAACTTTACACAAGTAAATAGACCATCAAGGTCACTTTAGGCAGTGAGAAGTGCTTTGAAGGGAAAAAAGCCAAAATAGAACATGATGGACTAGAGTGTGTGACAGGGGTGGATGTGAGAGGCTGATTCCGGCGGATCAGCCTATGTGCCTACTCTAGGCACAGACGATGCCACGCGAGGTGAGGTCTGAGAAGGGAGAAGGAAGCATATGAGTGAAGGTCTGGAGTAAAGGGTTCAGGTAGCAGGTATGAAGGCCACGGTGTTTCAGTGACTTTTGCAGCCCCTTGGAACACTGACCAAGCAAAGCAGGACTCCCTAGCTGCAGGTCCTGTAGCTTTCCAACCTCTCCAGGCAGGGGATTCCCAACTCACACCCCGTCGCTTCCATCTTGCCTGGCTAAAAGTGTGCTGGCTCCACTGGGGACTGTGTTTCTGCCATTGTAGCAGGAAGCCCAAGCAGAAGTGAGGGAGTCCTTAGGCCACCAGTGCCTTACAACCAGCACAGGGCAGTGGGTAGCCAGCTTCTGGGTCAGAGATCAGAAATGGAATATCTTTATGTGCAGAAAATTCTGACTAGGCTGTCAGACACAGCAGCAGTGGGTCAGTGAGAGTCTTCCTAGGGAGGAAAGAACTGCTGTTCAAGATCCTGGCTTGCTACATATGGCTGGTGGCCTTGGTTGCGAGTCTGGCCCTTGGCCTTGAAAGATTAGATTCAGATAAGAGGAGCACGATGTTTATGATGGTACAATGTGGTGTGGAGAGCGTGGGCAGGGCAGTCACATCTCTGCAGCTAAAAGCCTGGAGGATGGGGATTAGTGTTACTCTCAGGACTAGGATGGTTCAAGGATTCCACTGTTCTCAGTATGTGCTTACATAGCGTGCCATTGGGGGGGGGTGTGTGTCTGTGTTTACATTATCTGCCTTGTAGCTGCCTTGCCGCTCATATCTGTAGCTGCATCTGCTCGTGGGTGGGTAATTCTGTCTGTGCTCAAATGTGGAAGTGCGCCCGTTGGGGAAGTGGCGTTCGTTGCCACTTTCCCGCCTTGTCAGTGTTACTTTCAGGGATTGGATCAGCTGGAGGAGTGGAGGGCAGGGAGAGAGGGAGGGAGGAGCTTTGCTTGCTAGCTCCGCCATTCATTGTCACCCCACCCCCGGGTTCATTTTCCCCAGCACACAGACACATCCTGTTGGCACGATCAGAAGATCTGATAGGAGCCTGCCATTCCAGGTTTCCGGTTTGAGCAACGGGGCTGGGGGCTGGGCATGGGGCTTGAATAGGAGCTGGCGCTGCCCATCAGATTATCTTGCTAGGGCAGTCCAAGGTGGCCCCACCCCAGCGCAGGGACAGAGGCCCACAGGCATGGAGGTGGGCCAAGGAGCTGGGAGTCAGGACGAGACCATTGTCATGATCATGAGTGTTCTGGTCCCACTCTCCTCAAATCAGAATACATTCTGATTGGTCCAGCTGGCATCCTCTGGCCAGTCAGGAGAGGAGGAAGCACTGACCAAATGGACTGGCCCCTCCTTCTAGCAGATGCATCGGAGTCAGACTGCTTCCCTTCTCCTCCCACCCGCTCCCCTCTCACCTCTGTGCCCTCCTGCTGTGTGTCTTTGGGAGGCTAGTGACCCTTTCTGGATTAGTTTTCCCTTTCTTCTAGGAGTGGGGGTGGCTGTTCCTTCCAGTCTTCTAGCCAGAGCCTTGTTAAGGGAATTGCGGAATGTTGACTCTAAAGATAGGAATACTTAGTGGAAGTTAGATATCCTTCAGTATCGAATGAAGTGATATAGAGTAACTTTGTACCCTTTTTGTGTGCCTGCTAAGTTGCTTCAGTCGTGTCCGACTCTTTGAGACCCCATGGATGTAGCCTGCCAGGCTCCTCTGTCTGTGGGATTCTCCAGACAAGAAAAAGTGAAGGACTAGAATTATTAAGCTCTTACTATTTGCTCTATTGTTATGTGGCTGGTGCGTCTGTGGGGACAGAACTGGGGCCTGTGGGTACAAATGTAAACTTGGTTTGGGCTGGGGGCCAGGGTGTCAGAGCTGTCTGATGGTTGGTCATCCTGACTTGTTCTGTAGTGCACAGCTAAATGATGCCTGTCAGGGATGTGTCGGGGAGGAAATTTGGTCCAGCTGGAGATTCCTGGGCTGGGAGTGAAGCGGGAAAGAGACGGCCACATTGACCACCAGGGGGCGCTGGAGAACCCCAAGTGGGAGGTTTGGCTGGGCTCCACTCTAGGTGTATCAGTACCTGTTTGCCTTCCTTACCTAAGGCTGCAGGCAGCAAGGATGGAGACCCCAGGCGCTCGGAGGCCTGGGGGCTGCTGGAGGTGGTGGGGAGTCGGCAGGGCCACCTAGGGCAGTGTGCTGGGGGGAAAGAGAACAGGATGGCTGTACTCTAGCACAGGCCTCCTTGGCTGAAGCTGCCCTTCTCCCTGCTCCAGGTACGTGCACTATTTCAGCGGCCTGCTCTCTGGCTCCATCAAAATGAACAACAAGCCCTTGTTTCTGCACCACGTGATCATGCATGGCATCCCCAACTTCGAGTCTAAAGGAGGTAACTCTCTGAACCCCCTGGCTTCCATTCTCCTCCTGTCTTCCGGAGGCAGCGCTAGGTGGTAAAAATGCTGGCTAGCTGCCAAGTCTTAGCTTGGAGTCTCAACTGTACCACTTCCTGTTTCTTTGCACCCCAGTTGATTCATCTGCAAAGTGGGTTTCATACTGGCCATGCCTGCTGGCAGGTGACGCTGGATGTGGGCACGTTCGTAAACTCAAAATGTGTTTGTTTTGTTATTATTTTACAAATATTGATTTATTTATTTAATTTTGGCTGGGTTGGGTCTTCATTGAGGGATATGGGGTCTTTAGTTGCAGCATGCAGGTTTCTCTCTAGTTGTGGTGTGCGGGCTTAGTTGCCCCGTGGCAGGTGGGATCTTAGTTCCCCAACCAGGGGTCAAACATTGGAAACACGTCTCCAATATTGGAAGGCAGATCCTTAACCACTGGACCACCAGGGAAGTTTCTCAAAATGCCTTTGATGAAAAGTTAGCATTTTTTCCCTCTTTCTTTTCCCGTTTCTCCTTCCTCTTCTCCCCCTTCCCCTTCTCACTCTTCTTCCTTCCTGCATCTCTCCTCTCCCCCTTCCTCCTCTCACTGTTCCTGCTGTCTCGGCTAACACCACCCCTCCTTTACAGGGTGTCGACCATTTCTCCGGATCTACCAGGCCATGCAGCCTGTCTACACATCTGGCATCTAGTAGGTATTCCACAGGAATGAGAGGCCAGGAATGTTGGCGAACTGAGGCTGAGGACTGGGGGCAGGGATTGGAGGGCTGTCTAGAACCTCTTCTAGGAGGAGGGCTGAGGGATGCGTCAGTGAGCTTTCCCGACAGCCCCCTGGCGGAGGGGCAGCTGGAAGGAGGTACTCTGCTCAGCCCCGTTAGCAGCCCTCTGTCCCTCTGCCTCTCTCCCTTAGCAACGTCCAAGGAGACAGCCAGACCAGCATCTGCATCACCATTGAGCCTGGGCTGCTCTTGAAGGGAGACATCTTGGTGAGTTGCTCCTCCATCTCAAGCTCCCCCCCGCGCTGCCCACTGTTTATTTTTTTTCTTTTTTCATCCTGCTCCCCTTCTGTCTCTCTGGATAAGCGTGTCACTCCTGGTGGGCCACCAGCCTTGGGGGTGTTGACTGGCTCTCAGGGGCCCTGCAAGGCCTTCCAACCTGGAAGGTCCTTGTCCATCCACTTCCTCACAGCGGGATATGCCTTCCCTGGGCTTGCCTCTTGTTCCGGAGCATCTCCAGGGAAATATGGCTCTGTGTGAGCTATTACCTCCGGGCTTCCTGCTGGTGACCAGGACTGCCTCAATTCCAGCTTCACTCCTTCTACTTGCATTTTAAATCCACTTCTGCCTTCTCCATTTTGACTCTTGTGCAGGAACTTCTTTTTTAAAAAGTTTTATTTTTAATTGATTAATGATTGCTTTGCAATATTGGTTTGATTTCTGCTGCACATCAACATGAATTAGCCCTAAGTGTACATATTTCCCCCTCCCCCGAACCTTTCTCCCACCACCCAGCTATTCCCACACCTCTAGGTTGTTCCAGAGCCCCGGTTTGAGTTCCTCGAGTCATACAAGGAATTTCCATTGGCCATCTGTTTTACATGCAGGAACTTCTCGGGAGGGTAGTTTTGTCCCCACAGGGCAGGATTGGCCTCCGACTGCTGCTGTTCTGGAAGTTTCCCCAGAGAGCTCTGAGATTCTGTTGGGGACGGGTGACCTCTTCCTCAGTGGGTTTGGGGCCCAGAAATGGAGCTGATAAGGAGGCGCCCTGGGACTAACTTCCTCCCTCTGGGCCCCTGATGGGCTCGGCTGTCTCTCCCACCAGCTGAAGTGTTACCACAAGAAGTTCCGGAGCCCAGCGCGAGACGTCATCTTCCGCGTGCAGTTCCATACCTGTGCCATCCATGACCTGGGAGTTGTCTTTGGGAAGGAGGACCTTGATGATGCCTTCAAAGGTAGGCTCGTTGAGTAGACAGGCAGACGTAGCAAGGAATAATTATACCACTGGATAGAAGAACCTAACGGAGGGGCTGTGGCAGCAGTGAAGGGTGACCATTTTCCTAGGGGAAGGGGAGTGATCAGGGAGCTGTCTCTCTTTGCTTCTTTCCTCTATCCATTAGGTTTTATCTGCATCCCATTCGGGTCTGGGACGTGTCTACATTCATTCACCCATCTATTCATCTATCTATAAACCCACCAGCATCACTTGAGTGTCCGTATGTGCCAGGCATGTGCTAGACCATGGCGATACAAACAGAAAGAAGTCAGGCCCTACCCTTAGGGAGCTCACAGTCTTACGGGAGGAAGGGACACACAAACGTGATACTGTGAAGTGACGCCTATAGTGATGGAGGCGTGCAGGGGGGTGACAGGTGGTCCAGGGAGGGGACGCCACCCCTGCTGTAACTTCCCTTCTGACAAGCAGTGGGTGTGATCTGTGTCCAGACCGGGTTCAGGCAGAGATCAGAGCATGGGGCTGGAGCTCTGAGGAGGGGAGGCCTGAGCCCCCAGTGTGGTCTGGCTCATGCAGGGAGAACGATATTTCTATGAAGAGGTTTCCCTGTACCAGAGCCAGGAGGGCAAACACAGAAGATGCTGTTGTATTTGCAGAAGAGAATGTAAATGTTATCAGTCCTAACAAGGAAGGTAAAGGAATAACTAACGAGATAAAAGGGGTTGTGGAGAGGTGGGAAGGGAGGGGCAAAAATTTCCTCCTCCTGTTTGGAGGGAGTCAGGACATGATCAAAAATGGACAGATCAAGAAATAGAGGCTCAACTGTAATATTTAAAGTTTCAGAGGTAATCAGAAGGGTGATTAATAATCATAACAAGATTTAAGAAGGGAGGTGGGGATACTATAAGTGGTCCAAATTATTCATCTTCACAGTGTTGCATCAATGAAGATTATTTATTTTTTTCTTTTTTTTTCAATTAAGATTATTTAAAACTAATTAAAAATAGTGGCATAAAAACTGTGGTTATTTTATAGAGTCTTAGAGGTAGCTGCTAGTAGAACAGAACATAGAAATGGTAAGAAGTGGTTACCTTAGGCAAGTAGGACTGGACTAAGATGGGCAGGAGACTTAACATCATTATACATATTATTTATTATATTATCAACTATGTATACATATGTTGGGCTTCCCTGGTGGCTCAGTGGTAAAGAATCCGCCTGCCAGTGCAGGAGATGCAGGTTTGTTCCCTGAGTCAGGGAGATCCTCTGGAGAAGGAAATGACAACCTATCCTAGTATTCTCACCTGGAAAATCCCATGGACGGAGGAGTCTGGAGGGCTACAGTCCATGCGGTCGCAAAAGACTCAGACGTGACTCAGTGACTAAATAACAACAATAAATACATATATTACTTTAATCTTTTCTAGAAGAAAACTTTCTGTGGAGTCCTTTTTTGGGAATTGATTGCCCATTTTTGTTTTCCTTCTCCTTTTTCAGATGATCGATTTCCAGAATACGGCAAAGTTGAATTTGTATTTTCCTATGGACCAGAGAAAATTCAAGGTAAAAGCTGAGTTAGAACCCATTGATTCACTCCCTTCCCTCCATCTAGCCCTGCCCCACCTCAGCTCATCTCCACCACTTCCTCACTGGTCTGTTCTACAAATATCAAGTTACCTGTGGTTGAGAGGCAGACCAGCAGTAGCGGATCTGGGTATCACAGTGGACCCCCAGCTAAACATGAACCAGTGACTTAATCTCTGGATAATAAAAATAAAAAAGTAGACAGGCGCTGGGTTGGATAAACTATTTTGGCCCCATTAAGTCATCACCCTCTTATATTCAGAGACTGAGGGCTGTGGTGGATGGAGTGAGCGGCCAGGGGACACTCATAGGTGCTGGATGGGCGATAAGTATTTATGAGAACTGAGGTGATTCGACCTGAAGATGAGAAGGGCGATTTAATAACAGCCGTTAAGCCTTTAGACTGGTTATATGTGGAGGCCAGTTGTTTGCCATCTTATTTGGGAACTGAATAGGAAGAGATGAAGTCAGGTTACCGACAGAGGGACTCGGTAGATTATAAAGAAAGGACTGCTGGGTCAGGAAGGTAACTTGCCCCAGAAGGCCTGACTTGTAGCTTTTCTGTCCACATCCTGGGCTTTTTCTGAAAGTGTAGGCGAGATTCTGCCTCTCTCCTCAGATTTCTGCCTGGAGGAGAGAACCTCTTAAGTGGAGGGGCAGGGGGATGGCTGGGATGACCTGTGTCCTCTCAGCCGCAAGGCTGTGACTCGCCTGCTGTCCTTGGCCCTATGGAGCCCACCGCAAGTCTCTCCCACACTCCCCTCTGACTCAGGACCAGCCTCACTGGACTCTTGGCACTGTCACAGGGACCCCTGGGGCACAGATGAGAAAGAGGCAGCCACCCAGCCAGAGAGCTCCCCCCCAGCTCTGTTCTGGGGGGTTTTTGTTGCTCAGTGCCGCTGTCCTGATTTACCCTTATGACCTGGTGTAAGCCTTTTCAAGAATGTAAGAAACCAGACTCCTGGGTTCTCCATCCAACTTAAGCCACTGGTTCCACCCCGCATGGTCAAGAAAGTGAGAAGTCCCTTAGGGAGCATCCTTGGGGAGCTTGTTGGCTTCCTCTGTTTTTCCAGCTGCTAATCTGTTTTTTTTTTTTTTTTTCTTTCTCTTTACTGTCCTCTCCTCCTTTCCCATTTTCTAAGGCATGGAACACCTGGAGAATGGGCCGAGTGTGTCCGTGGACTATAACACCTCCGACCCCCTCATCCGCTGGGATTCCTATGACAACTTCAATGGTCATCGAGATGATGGCATGGAGGGTAGGTGGGACCAGTGACTTCTAGTCCCTCTGCAATTGCATAGCCCTGCTCAGATGGCCTTGGGTCTCTTGGTTTGCTATGATACCATACTGGGTTCAGAGGGTCGGGGGTACAGAGGAGAAGTCCAAGACATTTCTGAGAGCTTACAGTTCAGTGGGGGAAGATAAAACTAAACATGAATGTGTTAAGCTATGAAGGCAGAGCCAAAGAATGCAGCAAACCAGCCATAGAAGTGTGTATTCTTGGTACCAAATGAGTCTCACAGGCAGCAAATGCTCTGAGATTGGCCTGGGAGGGATTCTTGAGATCTGGAGTGGTCTGGGAGGCCTCCTTGGAGGAGGTAGCCTTGCATGGAGCTTGAGATACCCTGCTGTGCTACAAACACTGCCTTTGTTAGATTTCTTTTAACCCTGTTGTTGGATTTCTCCAGGCTCGATGCCTGAGTTCTCTGGGGTCAGAGCACTAGGAATGTAGACACAGTATTCAGGGCCCACAAGCTTTCATCAACAGCCAACGAAAATGTTTGCGAGCTGGAAATAAACCGGTAGGCTCCAAAATTTGAAAAGAAAGCAGCAGAATTGAAATTAATACATGTTTAATCTAGCAGCAAACCCTAGCATTATGTCAAATGGTCATTCACAACTCATATCAGCTCTTAAGAGTTATGCATGAGTTCTGTTGATTTATGTGGCTCATTTGAATATGTGGGGCCTCTGAAGTGAGCTTGTCTGGAGCTCAGGAACTCTTGAGACACCCTGCCTGGGGTTTAATCACAGGCTTATTTCTCCATCCCCCATCAGTTTTCAGCTGGGGTAACTGAGAACCCCTTTGATTTATACCTGTGACCAGCCTGTGTCCATTCAAGGACACTAGCACCCAGCCTCTGTGCTTCTGCACCCGGTTGAAGCTGGTCCTGGGGTGGGGGTGGGGGGGCCCTGGGCCACATCGAGAGCTGGGTTAGGTAGCCCAGGGGCCCTCACCCTGCCTCCATCTCCAAGGTTTTGGATTTGTTGACTCCACCCTGAAAAGTCTTTTTGGCATTTTTCTGCATAAAGTTTCTCTCTCTGACCTTGGACACTCCAGAATGAGCAATGGAGTTCAGAGGGAGTGGGATGAGGGTGATGGTGGAGCTAGAATTTCGGGTTTGATGAGCGAAGTTCACGTGCAGTGTTTCAATGGTCCAAGTTTGTCTTTGTACCTACTTAGTTCTTGCTCTTCTTTCTCCTGCCCCGGGAGGCCCAGACACTGAGCCCTTCCCACTATGCTGAGGCCGCCCCCAAAGTACTCCTCCCTCCAATCATGTCCCCTTGTACCCAGTAGCTGGGAGGAGGAAGAGGATGCAATGAATCAGTCCTGAGGTACCGGTGGCTGCCAGCCTAATTGTTCATCATCCTGGGGATGTTTGCATTTTTAACAAGAACACTTGGCAGTCTGAAGGAATTTTCAGTGTCTCTCCATCTCTCCCTGGTGTGGATTCAATGCGATGATAAATGTAAAAACATTTAGTAAACTATAAAGTGCCAGGCAAACAGAAGGTAAAATAATTAAGGGGAAAGGAGGGGCTACGGGAAGGATGGGACTTGGGTCAGAGTCAGCCTGAGGGAAGGAAGTGGGCGGAAGGAGCCAGAGGCTGGTACCAGAGGCGGGGAAGGGGGAGGAAGGAGGGGGTGAGGGAGGCCCTGGGCTCCTCTCCCACCCCCTTACCCACCCTGCTTTCTCCTCCGATCTGCTCCCCCAGGCAGGGGATGGAACCAGTGGGACCTTCAGGCCAGTTAAAGGTCAGCTTGTCCTGTAGGGACAGAGGGGCTCCTGTCTGGAGGCTGAGATGCTGGCCTTATGCCCGAGGGTGGGAAGGGAAGGCTTAGGGAGTGGCTCACAGCCCAGCCGTCCTCCTCCCTGATCTGGCTGGCCTAGGCTGGGGGCTGGGTGACTGAGGTGGTCACCTCACGTGGTCTGGGCAGACCCCATATTATCCCAGTCCCACTGTGTGCTCCCCGCTATCGCTGGGCTGTGGGCCCCACAGGGACAGGAGAGCCAGCCGGGGGCGTTGTACTAGGAGTAGTGATTGTTACTCCCATCCTGCTTTTCCTGGCTGGAACATTTCTGGAAGGCTCTAGATTCTGGGGCCTGGTTGTTGTTCAGTTGGAGTCGTGTCCGACTCTTTGCGACCCCATGGACTGCAGCATGCCAGGCTTCCCTGTTCTTCACCATCTCCCAGAGCTTGCTCAAACTCATGTCCATTGTGTTGGTCATGCCATCCAGCTTGCATTTTCTTCTGGCTAGTTCTCTGGTCAGGGAGGGAAGCAGGAGTTCTGTGTCTGTTTTCCTGGTTGTGGGCCTGGTTTCCGCACATGCTAGCTAGGATAAAGGCACCTGACCCCCAAGACTCTGGGGGCACTCGAGAGATGGCTCACGCTGGCGCCTGGGAGGGGCTTGGCCATTCACTGGAGCTGGGGCTTGGCCTCGCGGGGCACGATGTGGTACCAGAGATGGCTCTGCCTGCTCCCCAGGGAACCCCTGGGCCAGGAGAGGCAGGCTGACCCTGAGGTGCTGGAGTGCAGGGCGCAAGCACGTGTGTCCGCCCTGCAGGTGTCCCCTACGCAGCTCTGTGACCTTGGTCACTTACAGGAGAGGCTGCTCACTCAGGACAGCCTCTGCTGAGGGACTGGCCTCTCAAAATACAGAGGGGGTGGTGTATGCAAGGTAGGGTGAGGACGTTTCTGGAGGCGGTCTGCCTTTCCTATGTCAAGCCCACAGGGGGTGGGTGTAGGAAGGGCCGGCCAGTCCCTCTGGAGTCCGCCGGGTGACTCAGAGTGGTGGGCGAGGGCCCCGAGCCCAAGTCTTGGCGATAAAGGTCATCTCTGGCCTGGGCCCCACCTCGGCGTTCCCTGCAGTGAGAGGCGGTCAAGGCTGGGGTCAGAGCTCCCGCTTCCTCCAGGGAGCCCTCCAAGTGACCCCGACTTAACCTTGCCTGTGAGCAACCATTCTGTATTTAATGCCTCCCTCGCTGCCTGCACTGCCATCCCCCAGAACCTCGTGCAGTCTTCCAGTTCAGAATGTGTGACCGTGTGACACTCAGTATGCTTGTCCCTTCCCCCAGGGAGTCCTCCGTCAATCTCAGTGGCAAAATGAAGGAAGAAATCGTGTGAGGACTTCTGGTCCCTGCAGGCTGGTCCCACTCCACATCAGTCTCTGGAGGGGAAGGGACCTGTCCGAGGGGGAGGCATCCCCACGTGTGGAACTGTCTTAGGACCTTAGCCCAGCCTGTGGCCACCACATTGCACGATGACCACACTGCACGTGGGGAGGGCAGCAATCTCACTCAGGGTCCGAAGATCAGAGATAGGGCTGGCATGTGGATCCAGGGATCAGCTCCAGATCCCTCCTTCCCTCTGCAGCTCAGCTTCTTCCTCTCCTCACACCCGTCACTCTTCACCTTGGATGACAGGGTGCCCCGCAGGGCAGCCCATTTCCCTGCAGGACTGGGCCAGGAAGTAGCAGCAGAAACCAAGGGAGAGTGCACCTCTGACTGGTGGACCGAGGCTGCGGTCACTGTGCTGCCTGGGACCACCTTTGCTCCTCTGCACTTGAGCCAGAAGTGGTGGTGTGGGGAGTGATGAAAGGTGAAGAATCCAATGAAGAACCTTCTGGGCAGAGAAGGTTCCAGGCCTTGGGATGGGTGGCTTGGGGGCAGAGGGGGATGCCTGTCATCTCAGGGACTCCTTCCTTTGGGAACAGAGCCCTCTGGTAGACCCGAGGGCCTGATGTCCTAGTCTGTGCTAGCGGCTGCAACAAAGTACCACGACTGTTTACCTTAAACCACAGACATTCATTTTCTCCCAGTTCTGGGGCCAGAAGTCTGAGATCAAGGTGTGGGCGGGGCTGGCTTCTCCTGAGGCCTCCCCCTTGGCTTGTCGGCGGCTGCCTCCTCGCTTGTGTCTTCACCTGGTCCTCCCTCCGTGCGGGTCTGAGTCCTCACCTCCTCTTAAGGACATTGCTCTTGTTGGGTTGGGGCCCAGCCTTACGACCTCATTTAACTCTATCACCCCCTCTAAGGACTCTGTCTCCAAGTACAGTCATATTCTGAGGTCCTGGGGGTTAAGACTTCAACACAGCAATTTAGCGGAGGGTGAGGGAGACACAGTTCAGTCCATCACACCTACGAAGGGGTTTGCTGGGTTTCCAGTAGTTGGATGCCTAGAATCTTGGTCCCGAGTGAGGAGCAAGGGAAGGTCTGGGGTGGTGGGGGCAAGGAGAGCAGTCTGGTGCTCCATGAGCCTCCTCCTGTCTTTCTCTGGTTTGGTCTGGAGCCTGCCAGTTCAGCACTCTAGCTGACACCACGTTTCACAGCCTCCAGTAGCCCCATTAGCTCTTTGGCCTGAGTGCTAAAGCCCCGTGCCCAGATCTCAGCTCGCCATGGGTGGGAGCGGGGCTGTGTTTTTTGCCTATGGTGCGCAGAGCTGTCTCCAGACTCCTCCAGAGTGTTCCAGGGCAAAAGTGTTCCAGGGCAGGCCTTCCTGGAAGCAAGTGCCAGGCCAGAGGGGTGTGGCCTGCCTCCCACTGCCAAGAAACTCACAGGTGGATGAGGCTTGCATTGCCTCCTTGCCCACCCAGTCCTTCCCTCCCTTCCCCCACCTCCTTGGACATTTCACTGATTAGAGTTTCTCAAGACTTAAAAGAGGACTTGGGGGGAGGACTGGGGCTGGCAAGGCAGCAGGTCACTCAGAGCCAAAAGGAAGAATGAAGGGAGAAAAGACAAGACTGCTGTCCTGGCTGAAGATGGCCCGGGGACTGCTCACCAGCCCCTCTTCGGGGTTTTTCCTCCTGCAGGATGTCCGGCGGCCCTTCTTTTGTTTCTGTGGGCAGCCCCACCAGAGCCAGGGGTTGGTGACAAGGGGCTGGTCACCAAGTCTCTTACCCTCAGGCTCCATGAGGAGAAGAGTCCCCTTCCTTGAGGGAGAGCTTCCGAGTCCATGGGACCCCGATCTCCTCTGCACAGT